GGTTCACTTGATTATACACCTGATGAAAGAAAAATTTTAGCTAAACGGTAAAAAAAAGTAAAAAAAATAAATAATTATTTATTTCGTTTTTTTAATATAGATCTCAATCATATGTATGTTCAACATGTAATAAAACTAATAGTCAATTATTATTATTACCAATATCAGAAAAATCAATTGATATTCAAAAACAAGCTAAAGTATTAGCAAATCAAATTAAGTTTCAAAAGGTTTGTATTTTAAAATTAAGTCTAAGAGAAGAAATGTCCACATCTTGACTATATAAATGAAAACTTTTCTCTATATAGATATATATTTATTTTTAAATTATTTTAGAATTTTGAAACAACATCGAATAATAGTATAGTTCATAAACCATCATTAAATTCTAGTGAATTACGATCGAATTCATCAAATCAAATATTAATATTAAATGAAAATAATTCCAATAATAATCTATTAAATATTGTTATATATGTTTGTTGTATAATATTTTTATTTCTCTTCTTACGACGATTATTTTTAACATTTGGTAGTAGTCAACCATTTCCATCATCATTTACTGATTTGTAAAAAAATTCGATTTTTTTTTGTATTCATTAATAGTCAATAAAAGTCTGTTGTTTTTATTTTAAATAAATATACAAAACTTTTATTATTGTCGTTCTCCATTGCGTGTTTAGCTAATTCATGAACATCAACAACATAATAATTTGAATATTCTCTAGAGTAAATACGATAGTACAATTAGATATGAGGGTTACGAATTGCTTTTGGTTTCGATCTTGGCGAGACCAGAATCATGCTGATCATATATTAAGTATACTATCCAAATTTTGATTATTCTAATTAAAGAAATTGCATTAATATATCAATTATTGATAGTATCCGTATTAGAAGTTTTGTTTTTATTATAAAAACGAGAAACGGCAAATGTATTTATGTGATAAGATAAAAATCGAAAGATATATTCATGCATATCAATATTACGCAACTTTGATCTATATTTTTCAATGTACCGAATGAAATTATGATATTGTAAACTCTGAGAGGAAAGAAGCCAATCTTTGCCATCAATGAGAGGCAACCTGAATAGGGATGCAACAATGAGCCCAATCTGAAGGTCGATGGATATATGAAATATTTACAATGATGATCGATGTATTAATACCATTAGCTTCTCTTAGCATAAGGTATCTTAATAATAATAAAAAAAACAAATCGGCTACTATCATAGGTTTTTCATGCATTCATCGGCTTCTTTAGTCTTAATGAGTAAACTTAAAAATACATTTATAACTTGGAATGTATTTTTATATAAGAAGATTATTTTGAAAGTCATACTGTCAAGGCTTGTTTTCTGTCCTACATATATAACCTGAAAATCTTTGTATGAAAGTAAAACTAACTAAATTCGCTATATTTTGGCTATATAAATTTATTTTTCTTATTGATATTATTTGGACAAGAAAAAAAGAATAGATGTCCTTATGTACAAAATACGTAATCAATAAAGCCAAAATTGTTTTTTTAAAAATAATATGTTTATGAACTTCGAGATCTTTTCTAGTAAATGATTATTCATTAAAAGACTTTTTAAATAAATTCAACTAATCAATCAATTAATATATTCGTTATCTAAATTTAGAATTTTGTTTTTCTTTTTTTTTGTATTACAAAAAAAGAAACCAATAAAATTAGTTTTTATTACTAATATAGATACTACTTTAGTTTTGTTATTATTGTCAAAGGCTTTCAAAACAATCAATTAATTTCTCATGAAGCATCTGTAATCAAATGACATACATTCTATCATATGATTACGTCATATTACAGTATCAACAAATAAAATAAATTAATATTCAGTTATATTATAAATATTCAAAAGAAAAAAAAAAATCTATATACAAAAGTAGTTTGCTCACATTTATCAAAAGAAATTATTCAAATAACAAATACAAATTATTTCAATGTTTTCTATTCTAAACTATTGGTTATCATTGACATATGGATGATGTATAAATAAACATATTTCCGTCATGTATAATTATCCGTAAGAAAAAGAAAATATTTCAATCTATTATTTATCAATTGATTGCATGAAATAATTACAATAATAGATACTGATCTCAAGAGAAATCAAATCTAAAGAAGTAAAATAAAATAACTTATTGATTATTACTTTTTTTTTTTTAATAAAGAATATAGAACAAGTAATCATGCTTGATTAGAATTTCTTTTGTCATGATGACATCAATAAACAGTACTTAGAACATAAGAAATAAGACACATTTTAATTGCTTTAACATCAAAAGACTTATGTTCATTATTATCCTATCTAATAGCTTATATTTAAATATTTCGTATATTTTTTCAAAAGAAGCTTGAGTGAGTATTGCGTAGTATTAAAGATGATAAACATACAATCGCAATATCAAATATCTTATATAATATTTATAAAATCTTGACCAAATTTAAAAGACGAAACTGTTTTTTTTTTTTTGAATTTCATAGAAATAATAAACATAAATATTTAGGAATATATCTATCTATATATTGTATTATCAAATACGATTTGATATTCAACAAAATAAATTTAAAAAAATGATTTAGTTATATAGATTTCATTCGACGATCGTCATGCTAAACTTGATTTGTTAGAACGATAGGAACAAATCAATTCTTTGATCTTAGATCTATTAGGGATAGTGAACCAATATGATGAGTTTCAAATGAAGAAAGATAGAGAAAGCGAGAAAAATAAAAGAGAACAATCGAGCAGATGTTGATTAAATTATACTAAACAAGACATAACAAACACTTTCGAGGTCTTTTGACAATTGAGTTGACATGTGGGTCTATATGAGTGTATTTTTCGATCTTTGCATGTGGTATTATATAGATCTTCTTTATCAGAGATATTGATGTAGCATCAACATATTCATGGGGATTGTATTAAATTATGGGTAATATTAATCCTTGTTTTTTTTTCTAGAGGAAGCCAATTTGTTCTGAAGGCATAAGCGCATATGTGGGCATAAGATAATTCGTTTCTTTTTTTTTTTTTTTCTTTTTTATAGAGTAATCTTAAAAGATAGACTAGCATTTATTTAACTGACTTTCAACTCATACAATTCTATATATCGTACGATCCTCAAACCCAAAGAAAAATTGAATAAAAGTAAAGTAGTTCAATTAATTATTTATAATTTCCACCAGTTTTCTTTCTTTTTTTCATGTTGATTATTCTCGTTATGATATGTTCGTGTATGTGTGAAACAGATAAGCTATGGGTAGAAAAAAAAACTTTTTTTTTTCTTTTTCTTCTTTCTTTTTTTCAATTATACTAGCATTTCTTGTTTCTTCATTACCATCATTCTTGAGAAGATGACGATGATGAAGCAAAAAAGAAAGCCACACAGTCAACAACCTGTATGATTATTTGTCACGTCTTTCTGCTTTTTCTCTCTCTCTCTCTCTCTCTCTCACACTCTCTATGGTGCAAGCTCTCGTGCTCTTAATATATTGAGAATGCCTTTTATTTTTCATAATAAAATAGCTACTACCAAGTACTACAATTGTTTCTAGTGAGAGTTATGAAAAATTTTTATTTGACATACATTGATAAAATTCTATTAACATTGATCAATGATATTTTATCTATAAAGTTTGTATAAATCATATTTTTCATGAATTTATGTTTAGTTGTTTAAATTTAAAAAATGTAACATAATTTATCGACGTAGAATAATGTCGCAGTTTTGTTTTTCGTTTTTTTAATATTATTATGAACAATACTCTAATCTTTTATTCCAAAGAGTCATTGATCGATATGTTTATTTGTTGTTTCTTTATCTATATCGATGACAATAAACATTCAAAGTAGTAATGCTAACATCATGCGCTTCGTTTAATGCACCATCAATGACTACTTGCAGTAGATCAGCAGTTCATCCTCTTTTCTTGTTCTTTGAAGCTTTCTTTCCTCGACTAACGGATGCACACACACATACACAATAAGGCATTCGTTTGTTAACTAAAATGTGCTTGCAAGATTTGTTCATTCTCGAATTCATTGCATTGCTTTGTCTCGCCTCCTTTTTTTTTTCTTCTAACAAATATAATGATAATGTGAGATGAAGAAATAGAAACCAAATTATACACATATACATTCCTACTTTCTCATGTGATTTAATATTATATCCTACATAAAGATAACTGTTTGCGTGTTAATTACTCATATTCGACCCTGAATATTTTACCTATATGAACTATTATAGAAACATCCGTTATTAAAAATTCACTAGTTTCCAATTCTATAAACATTAAAGCTTATACTTGGTTGATTTGCGTGCAATACCTTTTTCCACGTGTTAACTCCTCTTCTTTTTCTGGCATTACTTTTTTCTTTTTTCCGGTGTTCAGAAACCGATCTTTTTTCTCTTCTTATTTCTTCGGCATTTAGCCGACAGAAACGAGAACGTTTTCCGGCTTCGTGCCTCCACCTCATAGCTAATAATTCACGATTTGTTCTTCGCTATAATGTAGTAACAGCCGCTCAGCAATTAACAACTGCATGTCATGCGCACATATATATATAACATATACATACATACATCTACTGCGTGTGTTTTTTTACTCATACTGTGCGAAGCAAAGAGCACGGCTAATAATGGTAAAATTACAAACAAAAAAATGACTCTTTTTACTGAAAATAGTTGATCCAATCATTCAGTAAATCAGCGTAGAAAATAATACGCAAAAGAAACTGGTAAGTTGCGAATATTAACAAAGAAAAAACAGTAGCATCAATCTGTTATCGCCAGATTTTTCGTCCAATTTCTCGGTTTGTTATTCTTGTTATTTGTATTGAAAATGACAGTCTACTTCTGTATAGATCATTTATGCATATACACACATATACTAACAACAAAAACAGACTGGAGACAGATAGGCGACGATCATAATAGTTGCAGAATCATATTACTAACAAGTCTAATCAGTGCCCACGATGGATAATAGTTCAATTAAATGATTTAATACTCTCATGTGATTTAAACTAAAAATGACTTGGGAAATCGGAAAAAAATTAGAAAACACAGATTAAACGAGAAAAAAAATTTAATTGAGCTTTGCATACTATGAACACCAAACGGGTTGGTTCTTATCTTTTCTCCTCCTTCTCCTTTTCTTTTTTTCTATTTTTCTTTCTGAATGATGTTAGAAAAGCAATCGGGTGTCGAGGGTTGGTAACACGCTCAATTAGCACATTCATTCTCTGAAAAAAGAAAAACATATGAATTTGTCCACAATATTCTTTCAAATCCTTGTCAAACAATAGTCTTATACATCATCAAGTAGAAAACATTTGACAACTGCAGTCGATCAATCATTCGACATTTCCTGTTTGTTTTTTTTTTTATCCCATCTTTCATCTTATTTATCTCGAATGAGTCAAAACATTATTCAACGAATCCGTCTAATTTTGTTATCAGAGAAACTAAACTCAAGGTAAAAAATTTTCTACGTAAATGAACAACAAAATCTATCGATTAAAATATGACAAGATCTAT